CACATGCACGTTGGCAGCGCTGATCCGCCTGGCCAGCACGGCTGCCAGATCTGGATCCCAACCCACCTCGACTTCCAATGTAAGGTCGCCAAGCACACGTCTCCACGTCTGTCTATGGTCGTTGGGCACTCCCGTCTCCAGCGCCGCGGCCTCATCGGCATCTGGGGCCATGCCCCCACCGAGGCCAGCCCTGGGCGCGTCAAGGACTCGTTCTGGGACGACATTACCAACGCCGTCCTCTACGCAGGCCACGCGCCCCCACTTCCCGCGCGCCGCGGGCGCGGGCGCGAATGGACGCGGGCCGGCACGCGGTGACCTCGTCGGCCCTTGCGAGCCTGAGCCGCTCAGTGAAAATTGCACCCGTCTGACCCACCATCCGACGCTGTTCTCTTTGGCTGCTGCCGACACCATCGGCGACGCCCGACATGCGCGGAGCTCCCAGCGCGGTTCCGCCGCGTGGATCGACTACGCTCTGGCCCCCAGTGCCGGCGCGCCGTCGGCGCTTCACTCGCGCGCGCTGCCAGACATCGCACCTCGCGCACGCCGACCGAGGACCACTGCCTTATAGCCACTAGCCACCAACATGCTTGCGCCCCCCGCTCCGAGCCCATCTCTGCCCCCTTTCTCTGCCTCCGCGCGCCCTGTCAGAGCGGCGCGCGCCGGCGAGGCAAGGCGCGAACATATTCGCGCTCATCTGCGGCAGCACGCCCCCTCAGCCACGGAGGACGCGGAGGCCTACGCCGACGGCACCTTCCAGGTACTTGCGCCACGCAAGCACCGCATCACCGCCCGGGCGCGGAACGTCGCGCGAGCCCTTGCCTCGCTCGCGTCGCACTGTAAGCGGTGCTCATGCCCATGCTGCCTGCGCTCTCTTGCGCGTATTTTTGTTCCGCGGGTGAGCTGGGTCCATCCAGCGCATGTTTGTACCAGGCGGGCATGTCGATGGCGACTGGGGACTGGGCTGGCGCGCCGTCGCCCGAGGTGACCTCGCACTTCGTCACTGGCGAATTCCCATGAGCACTTCCTCCATGGCGCGGAACTGCGCGCTGCGCGTCCAACGCCTTGGCGAACCCGCCACCGTTGCAGACCGCCTTAGCAACCCGTAGAGTCGACGACGCCAGATGCCCGCGACGCACACGGTCGCGGCGACCCCCGGACCACCCACGCCATCCCACGCGCGCTCGGCGGCCGCTTCACGCCCAAGCATCCACGCCCCGTTAAGAAGACAGACGGCACTCTTACATTTCTGAGGTCGACCGGCAACGACGTTGGCTGGAGCATTTCACCGCCGAGGAATTCGGCGTCGCCGCCACGTCGATTCAGGACGCCCGCGATGTTCCGGTCGCCCCCCCTGGTGAAGCATACATTTGTGATCACGCCGTTTCGCGCTGAGGAGGACACTGGCCGCCACGAGCGGCACCGCGGCAGCGGGAGAGATGACATCCGCGCCAAGATCACCCAGGCTAGAGGCGGCGCCATGGCCGCCAAGCTGTCCGACCTCAATCAGCGCGGCGTCGACGCCGAGGTCTAGCCCGGCAGCGGCGCCGTTGACGCGCACAAGAAAAATGGGCTGAAGCATGCGCGCGACGATTCCCAGAGCTTCCACCTCGACACCGATCTGGGTAAGCTCCTGAAGGAACTCTTGAACGAAGAGGTCAGGCCGTTCCACGAAGCCGGCACGCCGTCTGCGCAGTCCAGCGCGGTGCCGACGCGCGGCGCGGACTTCGCCTCCCACGCCGTCCTCCCTTCTTCGAATACTTTAAGGCCGCACAGCTGTGCTCCGTCGCGCTGCACGCGGACCTGCCCCAGGCCTTCGACGGGGCCATTCGTGAATTTGATTTCTGTTTCCCGAACGATTGTGAATGCCAAATTGCGCACCTATGCAAAATGGGCCTTGGTCACCGCCAGGCGACGTGGATCGTGACCTTCCCGCGCAGACATGGCCCGCCAATGCGGCAAGGGGGGGCATCCGAGAAAATATTGCGTCTCATCGCGAACTTGCATCCCACGAGCTGGCTCAGTTACGGCGAGTAGCCAAACGCCGCCAGCGCGCGTCCTGGGGGGAAGCAAGGGCGCACACACGGCCGCACAATTTTCAACGGCGCCCACTCTGCAGGTCACATTCTGATTCGCCACGCACCGGCTGACACGGGCGTCGTGCTCCGCCCGCCGAATTGCGACCCCGATTGTCTCAGCTTCGGCACTGGGGCGCGGGCAGCAGGCGACCCCTCCGATTCCAACACCACCGTAGTAGACACGGCCTTCGTGGACGATGAGTGCTCGATGTTGCGCGCAAATTCCGCCCAACAGCTCGACGCTGCCATTGACGTGCCCATGGATTCGCTCGTCGGCTTTGTTCACGCGCTGCGATTTGAGTTGAGCTGGTAGCCGCGTAAGCACGAGGGCCGCTTTCCTCACCGAGGTCGCATTGCTGCCGCTCACTACCAATCCCGTCGCTTTGTGCCAGGGGGCGCCCCTGGTGTCCGAGCGCCGCCCACTGGCGACGCCATCAGCGCGGCGCCCCAGCGTAACCACCTCGGCGGCGTAACGGACGCGGGCGGCAACAACGCGCCCGAGACTCGCGCGCGCAGCGCGGCCGCCGCCGAGTCGCACAGCCAATTGGCCATCCGCATACATGGGCACGCAGCGCCCCCCGTGGATTGTCGTTGGAGTCGAACGCGGACCCCGGTGTTGTCCAGGCCGTGCTTCGACCTCCACATTCGCGTCTTGACGATTGCCGTCATGAGGGTAATCAGCACCTTGTACATGCGTTGCAGCTGGCGCCTGGCCGGCGCGTGCCGCTTCGGCGAGAGCGATTCGGATTGCGAGGTGCGATGGCAGCTCCAAGCTCCACCGCTCGATTGCAGATTGCATCTTGCGCTGCAAGCGGCTCTCCTGATTGGGCCTTCTCCTGCGGCATGGACTTCCTGAGTTTCGAGCGCTGCTGGCTCGCCGGAAACAGCACCCGTCCGCGGATGCAGCTCGTGATCGATGATATCGCATGGGCGCGGCGCATGGCTGCGCTGTGCTCCGGGCCCCCCGACCCGCAGGTTAATTTCATGCCCTGGATGCACATGGTCGTTTCCTCGCCTGGTCGATGGGTAACTAAACAGCATGTGATACCTTGACTATGTTTGCGATGCAATGGCCGCGACTGCATCAGGTCTGCCTGCATACATCGTTGCACATCAGTGCCAGATACGCAGTGCAGCGTTCCCCACCAGTCGGGCGCTGCAATCTCATGTCCGCACACAGCACGGCGTCAAAGCCCCTCAACGCATGTTTTGCTTAGCCGTCGCCGTCTGCCAAGCATGCAAGACGTTTGTCCGCTCCCGCTTGCGCCCCCATGCCCACCTGTGCGATAGCAGGCGAACGCGATGTTGGGGTGCCATAGTGGCATCGCTGTCAAGTCTCGTCCGCTTGTCAGCTGATCAGCGCACTGAGTTGGACGCTACAGACAACTTCCAGCGACGAGCTGCTCGCAGCGCGGGCCACTCACGCTCCCGCCGCCGACCAGGCCTTTACAGATTCAGGCAGGGCGATCGGGCTTGCGAGGCTGTGATTCCACGCGCCAGTGCTGCACTGCTAAATTGGCGACGGAATTTGTCCGATCCTCAAGGAGTTCTATAAATGTAGATATAAAAAGATCGGGCGACAACCTATTTCTACAGACATGTGCGCCTATGTTCGCGTCAATATCGCCATCGATATATGGGGGCAATTAGCGGGACAACCATCGAAACAATCATGATACATGCCCAATCATATATATATATATATATACATATATATGTGTAAATACATGCACATACACATTTATATATATATATATATATATACCCATAGGCCTGCGTGTATGCGTTGACTTGTCGCATTATCTACGATATTCGATTGAAGGTTCACAGCCCCCCCGTCCCAGATGGGATGGGGGAAACGACGACTACGACGGCGACGACGACGACGGAAGACGATGTCGACGACGACAACGACGACGACGACGAGGTTAGCGACGACGACGAGGACGACCACGACGGCGACGACGACATCGACGACGACGACGACGACGACGACGTCCACCCTTCATTACGCCACGCTCACAGGGCCACGACAACGGGGGGGCGGAGCGATCCAATTCGCGAGGCCCTGCGACCATGGGCTCGGAAAGCTTTCGGCGAAAGCAGTGGGACGCCCACTCTGTACCACGCCACGATCACAGCGGGGGGGGCGATCCCAGTCGCGAGGTCTCCGCGAGGCTCACAGGCCTACCTATCCAGCGGGAGGGGGATTCGATCACATGTGCATCGGGGGGGGGGCAATTCTGGATCATATATGGGCATCACTATCGGTATATCGGGACAACCATCGGGAAGACCATGTGAAAACACATGGGTTCAGCTCACGAGGGGAAAAACCCTATGTGGTTGTTGAGTCTCGAGGCCTGCAGGCGAAAGGAACCCATGCAATAACGCATGGATTCAGCTCACTGGCCACAAGAACCCACGGGTTTTGACAGTTGTCCCGCTCACGGGCGCTGGGAACCCCGAACGTCAGGACAATTTTCGGAACAACCGGGACGGGGGCCCAGACTGGGGGGGGGGGCGATTCATTTTAGTTTGACTTGGCCCCTGCCTTAGTATCGCTCGGACGTGTGCCTTTTTTCTCGGCCAGGGCCATCGAGGAGGATCTTGGATCATCCTGCGAATAAAACGAAGGCACGGAGCCCCCCACCTCCTCCTCCTCCTCCTCCTCCTTCTCCTCCTTCTCCTCCTCCTCTTCCTCGAGTCCTCACAAACCCTTAGGTCCAGGTCCTTAGGAGGTTAGAGGAGCTTCAAACAGTTTGGCTTTGAAACCAGCTGCTCGATGTTCCTCAGGTCCTGCCGTGTTTTCTCTCCAGCCCTCTTCGTGCACGCAGGCGCTCCTGCAGCCAGAGATGGGCTGCGCTCCTCGTGTCTGGCTCCTTCTTTCCGCAGCCCGCATGCACGCCGTGCCGACCGACGGAGGTGCCGGTGGAGCCGCGGCAGAGGAGGCGCTCGCCGCGTGCGGGCCCGACCAGTCGGGCTGCCTCACGGTGGCCCGCGGGCCGGCGGGGCCCAGGGGGGCAGGGCCAGGGGCGGAGGCGGAGAGAGCCCAGCAGGGGAGCGAAGGAGGAGAGGAGGAGGAGGAGGAGGAGGAGCGGGAGGAGCGAGAGAAGGAGGAGGAGGAGGAGGAGGAGGAGGAGGAAGAGGAGGAGGAGGGAGAGGAGGAGGAGCAGGAGGAGGAGGGCAGGAGGAGGAGGAGGAGGAGGAGGAGCAGGAACAGGAGCAGGAGCAGGAGCAGGAGCAGGAGCAGGAGGAGGAGGAGGAGGAGGAGCAGGAACACAGGAGCAGGAGCAGGAGCAGGAGCAGGAGGAGGAGGAGCAGGAGGAGGAAGCAGGAGGAGGAGGAGCAGGAGGAGGAGCAGGAGGAGGAGCAGGAGAGGAGGAGCAGCAGGAGGAGGAGCAGGAGGAGGAGCAGGAGGAGGAGCAGGCGGAGGAGCAGGAGGGAGGAGGAGGAGGAGGAGGAGGAGAGCAGGAGCAGGAGGAGGAGCAGGAGGAGGAGCAGGAGGAGGAGCAGGAGGAGGAGGAGAGCAGGAGGAGGAGCAGGAGGAGGAGCAGGAGGAGGAGCAGGAGGAGGAGCAGGAGGAGGAGCAGGAGGAGGAGCAGGAGCAGGAGGAGGAGCAGGAGAAGGAGCAGGAGGAGGAGCAGGAGGAGGAGCAGGAGGAGGAGCAGGAGGAGGAGCAGGCGGAGGAGCAGGAGGAGGAGCAGGATGAGGAGCAGGAGGAGGAGCAGGAGGAACAGGAGGAGGAGGAGGAGGAGCAGGAGAAGCAGGAGGAGGAGGAGGAGAAAGAGAAGAAGAGGAGGAAGAAGAGGAGGAGCAACACTCCTCGAATGCAAACGCAAGTTTGTAATGCTGATCGACGTGCGAGACGCGGCCCGCGGGGTCAGGTTTTTTGTGTTGAAAGTCGCCGGTTTGGGCGCGAACATTGAAAGGCGGATTTTGGGGCGCCGCCACGTCGCAGGAAGAATTTGCATCTGTTTTCGAGGAGGGATGTAGGTTCGCGTGTTGCCAGAGGATTTCCTGAGAGGCCCAGAGGGCTTCCAGAGCAACCCTCACGAAGCCCAGAGAGGGCCCTAGGGGCTCCAGAGCGGAACGAAAAGCCGGGGGGGCATCCTGGGTCAGGACCACCTCTAGTCTGGTTCCCCCTTCATGCCGAGAGCACGGAGGAGGCCAGAGGGTGGCGCGAGGCCCCCCGCGGGCCCGGGCCACGCCGAGTGGAGCTGCGGTCTGCAGGAGGTGACCGCGTGCGCACTGTCTCTGCTCACGAGGAGGAGGAGGAGGAGGAGGAGGAGGAGGAGGAGGAGGGTGCCCTTGTGTCGTGTCTGGTTCCCCCTTCATGCCGGGAGCACGGGTCGCCCCCGGAGGAGATTCGTGTCCTCTCGGGTGTCTTCTGTGTTGTCAGCCCCGACTGTCGGAGGGGGCAGGAGCAGGAGCAGGAGCAGGAGCAGGAGGTGGCGGCTTGCGGTGGCGTAGGCAATGCGCGAGCATGGCTCCGAGCCAACCCTTTTCTGCGGCGGAGGGGGAGGCCGGGAAGGTAAAGAGGCAAGTAGGGCAGGACCGGGGACGGGGGGTTCGGAAGGGAGAGGCGCTGGGGAGAGGACGGGGAGGAAGGTGTGTTAGACTGAGGGGGCCCAGTGCCTGGAGGAATGTCCATGGGCACCCTAAACTACCATCTTTCGGGCCCAGTGAAAGGCACGAAAGGCGCACGCGTTGCTTCGCCCTCGTTTGTGGTAGGCTCGTTCTTGTCGACGCGGCGGCGACTCCGCCACAGGCGTTCAAGGTTGAACGCCGCCGGTGTCCCAAAATCGTCCAATCTGCAACGATCTGGCCATCGGAAAGCCGCTGACCTTCAAGGTTGACCGATCCACGCGGTGTCAGAAACCAACGCGCAGGTCGTAACAACAGGAACTTGCCGTACATTGCCCCTCCGTGGACGAACGCTTGATCCCCCACAAGGTTCTGGTCCGAATGGTCTTTGGGTCATAGCTCGGCTGTCTGGTCGTGAAGATCCGGGCACCCCGAAAGCTATCGCCGAGACGCAGCCGCTCGAAGGCACCCCGAGGCTGGAAAGCTGACGAGAACCGACGCGAGCGTATCACCTGTGGATAAGGAGCCGAACTCTATACACCGACGTTTTTCCCGGCCCCGCACTGAAATTCGCACAGAAAAGCTGATGTTTTGTATACGGGATCCTGGTGTATACGCTTGGTCGTCGTTTCCCCAGGAGAACGGGGAAAAAAACATACACCACACCGCCCCGACGTCGTCCCCGACCCTCAAAAAGTCCTGGGATTGAAAGACAGCCCGCCGCTGGTAATGTCTATATGCTCCAGTTTCCGATGCGAAGGTGGACGCGCCGCACTTGCCGCTCCTCGTCGGGCCCAGCTGGCAGCCGGCTCCCGGCTGCCCCGCCGTGGGCACCGCCGTGGCGCTGGGCCGCGCGGCCGCGGGGGCGCTGCCCTTCCGGGTGGAGGCCGCCCGCTGGGGCGGGGCCGGCAGGGTCACGGTCACCGGGGCCGCCACCGGGGCCGTTGCGGAGAGCGTGGCGGTGGCCGTCTCCGTGGTGCAGGCGCGGGGAGCGGGGGGTCCGTCTTCGCCCTCCTCTTTGCCCTGGTGCGCCTCGTCCTCCTCCTCCTCGTCCTTCTGGCCCCTCCTCCTCCTCCTCCTCCTCCTCCTCCTCCTCCTCCTCCTCCCCCTCCGCCTCTCCTCCTCCTCCCCTCCTCCTCCTCCTCCCCTCCTCCTCCTCCTCCCCCTCCTCCTCCTCCTCCTCCTCCTCCTCCTCCTCCTCCTCCTCCTCCTCCTCCTCCCCCTCCTGCTGGAGGCAGCGGAATTGCACGTGCGCCTGCGGGGCTCCTCCGACCCCGACCTGTCGCCCGCCCTCTCGCGGAGGATCGGCGCCGTGGAGGCAGCGCTGCGGCTGTTCGGCCACGGCCAGGTCTTCGCAGCCTTCAACGGCGGCAATGACACGTTGGCAGCGCTGCACCTGTACAGGGCCGCCCTCGCCAGGCACTTCCAGGAGCGGGGGACGCCGATGATGCGTCCGCGGGTGCTGGTCCTGGCAGTCGAGGGCGACTTCGGCGAGGCACAAGAGCTGATCCGCCACACGGTGGCCCGGTACGAGCTGCAGGCGGTCACGCTCGAGGGCGGGCTCATCGCGGGCCTGGCCGACTGCGTGCGGGACCACGCGCTCGCGCGGTCGGCGTCGGCGGCGGCCGCCGCGGGGTACAGCGCTGCCGAGGCCGAAGAGCTGCCCCTCGCATGGGTCATGGGCACTCGCGAGGGCGACCCACATGCTCGGACCTCGAGACGTTCTCTCCGACGAGCGAGTGGATGCCGCCCGGCATGCGGGTGAACCCGATCTTGCGGTGGGACTACGGGCAGGTCTTGTTTTTTGTCTAGGGTTTCGAGCTGCCTGACTGCTCGCTGTACGACCTCGGCTACACCTCGATAGGTGGGAGATGTGGTCAGGCATATGGAGATGTGTAGCGTGCCTGAAGGGCAGGCGTGCTGGTGAGCGCCGGCCCCCAGGCAACTGTGCCAATGTTTCCAAGCTTCATGCTGCAAGACAGCCGGAGCTAAACCACCAAACAGTGGCGTTCGACTGCTCGGATGGCTCGGTTCTTTTGATTTGCCTGAGGGGCAAATATTATTCCTCGGGCGCCTCTGTCCGAGGCCTGGCCTCGGACTACTCGCGACAGAAGCTCGGGGTGACGGTCGACCTCGACAATTGTATTGTTTGGCCTGTTTCGACGCCTCGATCTTTCATGGATCTGATCCGCCCATCCGTTCCGCTATGGAGCAAGACCAGCTGATGGAATCGGCTGCTCTCAAGGATGTGGCGGAGCGCCTCCGCTCCGAAGGGGGGGGATGCGGGAGTGTCGATCAAGGTCTTCCTTCTGGCGACTCAGACTAACCTCACATGAAGGTTAACCAGACTGCGTCGAGTGCTGGCAGGGCACTCAGCGGTGGGCCCCGTAGAGGTCAAAAAAATCCTCCTCCTCCTTCTCTCGTGCTTCTGCCCCTCCCTCATCCTGATCGTTATTGTCATCGTCATCCTGACCCTCTCCCCCTCCTCCTCCTCTTCCTCCTCCTCCTCCTCCTCCTCATCATCATCATCATATCATTATCATCATCATCATCATCATCATCATCATCATCATCATCATCATCATCATCATCATCATCATCATCATCATCATCATCATCATCCTCAACGTGCGCATCTTACTCACCTACGCCCTTCGCCCTGGCTTGTTCGGAGGCTTCCCGCGTTGGCTCAGCTCCCCAGCTAGGAGCGAAGAGTTCGCACCCTAAGCCACTTACGCCCATTGGCTGGTCAGAGTGGCCCTCATCCTACTCAAGCTTCTCCTCCGCATCATACACAATCATCGCCATTGTCGCCGCCATCATTCTCTCTCATCTCTCACCTCTCCTCCCCTCCTTTTTTCCTCCTCCTGCGCCTCCTGCGTGTCTCATCCCTCCTGCTCTTGCTGATTGCTGCTCACCCTGGCCTTCCTCCCCTGCCTCTCCTTTCCCACTCCCATTCGCCCTCCACGTACTGCCGCTCCCCGTCACCGTATCTTCGCATCTTCGCCCCCTTCTCCAGTCCACCCTCCCCCATCAGCCTCTCCCCTCGCCCGTCGAATTCGCGATGGGGTCCCTGCGGGCCGCTACGTAGCCAGGAGTGTTGTCGCCCCTGCGAGGCACCCTGCAGAGACCGGACCGAGACCGGTCGCCGCCGCTGCCCGCCGTGTCGTTGACAGTTGATGAGACACCCATTGCAGTCTTCAGGAGGGAAAGAAACACAGCTTCTCGGATTTTCGGTTCGTGTTCCCTCACTGCAGCCCTTTTGGGGGTCGTCTTGGGGCCAGGCCCTCTTGGGCCGTCTTGGCCGCCTCTTGGGCTGTCTTGGGGCGGTTTCGGCCGTCTTGGGGCTTTCTTGGAGGCCTCTTGGGCCGTTTTGGGGTGGTCTTGGGAGCCTCTTGTGCCGTCTTGGAGCATCGAAACACATCAGGGAAATCTATGATCTGTGCCTCGTGGAGCCTCTCGGGAGGCCCCTTGGAGGCCTCATAGGGGCGTCTTGGAGGCCCCTTGGGCCGTCTGGGGGGCCCTCTTGGGCCTCTTGAACCGATCTCTCGGCGACTCGGAGTCCTCCTGGGCCGCCTGCGGGGCCCCTCTTGGAGCCCCCTTTTGGGCTGGGAAAGCTCACGGGCCACCGCTGCCCGGAGCCCCGGGGGGGCACGCGGGAAGCCCCAGAGGGCGCGCGGGAAGCCCAGGGGAGATGTGAGAGCGAGGGGCCCGGGCCCCCTGGAAGGCTTGTCAAGTCAACGGCACCGTAACGGGTACTCCAGATTTCGTAATGAAAGGGAGGGGGTCTGGACCCTCCAAGACAAGCCATTTCAGACCCCCCCCCCGTGGGAGAACCCTCCAAAACATCGTCCCCAGACCCCCCCAGGCCCTCCAAGATAGCTTGGAAAAGACCCCCCCCCGAAATGAGACCCCCCCTCCCTTTATTACGAAATCTGGAGTATACTTACTAACGGGTATTTTGCGATTTTGCCGAAAGTTGCCACTTTAGGGCCTTTTTCTTGCATTGCAGCGTTGCCCTCCTCGGGAAGGGCTGGGTTCGCTGGGTCACTGGCCAAAGTACCCGTCAGTGGAGTCCCCGTTTGAGGGGCGCTGATCAAGAGGGAAGCATTACGGCTTCGAGGAATACAGTCAAAACGTGTATTAAGGACGGGTGGCAAGGGCGCAAGACCCTTGGAGGCCGAAGTTGGATTTTGGGGGTGGGGGGCGGCCAGTGAAAACGGCGAAGGACGGGCCGCAGAGGCAAGGACTCAAGGGTACCCTAGATGAAGGCACGCGTCCTTACTAGGCGCGTTGACTGTAGGCCCAGGACCTGAGGACACGCCCACTCCGTGCCCAGCGGCACGTTGGCAGAATCTTCGTTTCCCCCACAAAATGGAAAGCACGGGGAGCGGAGGGGAAGACGAACATCCAGAAATCATGGAATGGAGAAATATTGCGAATCCTGAGGTTTGTCTATTCATTTGTGTGTCCCTGGGCCCCTTCAATTATCATGTCTGCTCTTCCGCTTCCGTCACCTCCCCTCCAGTCGCATTCCTCGTGTTCCTCCTCCCTCGGCTGCTGCTGCCCTGCTTCTCCTCTGCGTCTGCCTTCGTCAGCCCTTCTCATCCTCCCCCCGTCTCCCGTTCCTCCTTTGTGTAGGCCTGCACGCGCATCTGGACGTTCCCGAGGCATCCAAGGATCCCAAAGAGGCCTTTGGAAGCCTCCGAATTTTCGGATACGGGCAAAGACGCCGAAAAACCCAAATGTTCCGTGTCATGTTTCTTCTTTCTCTTCCTCCACGTCTTCGTCCTCCTCTTCTTCATCATCATCATCACCATCACCATCATCATACTCCTCTTCTTCATCCTCCTCGTCATCCTCCCCACTACCATCATAATTATCATCATCATCCCCCCCTTCCAGCCCCATCATCCTTGTCTCCCTCTTCCCCTCCCCGTTCCTCCCGCCCACAGTCACCCCTCGCCCCGAAAAAAGCATGGCGGCCAGAGGGATGGTACCGCCCCGCGAACGGCGAGAGCAACGCACCCCGGGCCGTCCGCGAGCACGCGAGCTTCGACGGAAGCCGCGACCCCCTCGGCGAACTGGACGTCCACGCGCGGCCCTCGGCGGCCGATGCGCGCAGCTTCTCCCGGTGCCTCGTTGTCAGAACCCTTCGGCGTCATTCGGGGCTTCATCATCACCATCCATCACCACCACCACCACCACCATCATCATCATCACCATCACCATCACCATCACCCATCCATCTCTTCGCTGTTACATAGAATCGTACCGTCTATTTTCTCCTCAGGCGGTCCTCCTCCGCATCCGCCTCCTCCTCGTCCTCCTTTCCCCCGCCACCATGTTGCACGCAAAACCCACGCGCGCAGGGGGGCCCGTGACCCGATGGCTGATCGGACGACTCCATGGTTAGCGCTTGGCGCGTTCATCCTCTGTCCACTGTCCTCTCCTCGTCCCGCCCTCGGGGGAAACGGCAGCCCGGGAGCCCTTTCCTCTTCATTGATCAAGTACTGAGAGGGCTCGATATCCAGGAAGCCCACCTGTTCGGGCGCATCATGAACCGTTGTGCAGCCGAATGCAAATGTGAAAAATGACACCTCGCGGGCGTGACCTGCAGGGCGGGGTAGGACCTTCGAGCAGAACGAATGCCTCTTTGGATTGCCTCGAGGGCGGGGTTCGAGTTTCCCGCACACGCATTGAGCTTCAACGGCTACGGACTAGACGAGGATAGGGGGGGGACTAAAGCGAAGGAGGAGGAGCACGACAACGTCGAGAAACACGACAAGGGGCCGAAGGGGAGGGCGCGGCTGTGGAGAGAGAGAGAGAGAGAGGAGGATAATTTGTTCCCACGTGTTTCCCCACATGTTTCGTGGGGTTATGGTTTTCTTCCCTGCCGCGCCGCACCCGCGACGCTCACACTCACACCTCACTCTTCCCCTCCTCCTCACAGCACTGCTCAGCACAGCTCAGCTCAGCTCAGCACGGCACAGCTTAGCACAGCTCAGCTCAGCTCAGCACAGCACAGCACAGCACAGCTCACCGCAGCACAGCACAGCATAGCACAGCTCACCGCAGCACAGCACAGCATAGCACAGCTCACCGCACAGCAGCACAGCACAGCACAGCACAGCACGTCTATGCGGGCCATGGCGCAGGGCACGGCAGGCGTGGCACTTTCTCGACACCAGAGGGGGTGCGCAGGGGGTGGTCCCTGAGCGCGGCGTCTATGCGGGCCATGGCGCAGGGCACGGCAGGCGTGGCAGTTTCTCGACACCAGAGGGGGTGCGCAGGGGGTGGTCCCTGAGCGCGGCGTCTATGCGGGCCATGGCGCAGGGCACGGCAGGCGTGGCAGTTTCTCGACACCAGAGGGGGTGCGCAGGGGGTGGTCCCTGAGCGCGGCGTCTATGCGGGCCATGGCGCAGGGCACGGCAGGCGTGGCAGTTTCTCGACACCAGAGGGGGTGCGCAGGGGGTGGTCCCTGAGCGCGGCGTCTATGCGGGCCATGGCGCAGGACACGGCAGACGTGGCATTTTCTCGACCCCAGGCAGAGCGCGCAGAGGGTGGTCCCTGAGCGTGGCGTCTATGCGGGCCATGGCGCAGGGCACGGCAGGCGTGGCGTCGACCCCAGAGGGGCAGGGATGAGCGTGGCGTCTATGCGGGCCATGGCGCAGGGCACGGACGACACCAGGCAGAGCGCGCAGAGGGTGGTCCCTGAGCGTGGCGTCTATGCGGGCCATCGCGCAGGGCACGGCAGGCGTGGCAGTTATGTCGACCCCAAAGAGGCTTTCAGGGAGTGGTTTCTGAGCGTGGCGTCTATGCGGGCCATGGCGCAGGGCACGGCAGGCGTGGCACTTTCTCGACACCAGAGGGGGTGCGCAGGGGGTGGTCCCTGAGCGCGGCGTCTATGCGGGCCATGGCGCAGGGCACGGCAGGCGTGGCAGTTTCTCGACACCAGAGGGGGTGCGCAGGGGGTGGTCCCTGAGCGTGGCGTCTATGCGGGCCATGGCGCAGGGCACGGCAGGCGTGGCAGTTTCTCGACACCAGAGGGGGTGCGCAGGGGGTGGTCCCTGAGCGCGGTCTCTATGCGGGACATTGCGCAGGGCATGGCCAGCGCGGCAGTTTCTCGACACCAGAGGGGGTGCGCAGGGGGTGGTCCCTGAGCGCGGCCTCTATGCGGGCCATTGCGCACGGCAGTGCAGGCGCGGCAGTTTCTCGACTCCAGATGGGGTGCGCTGGGGGGGGTCCCTGAGCGTGGCGTCTATGCGGGGGCCATGGCGCAGGGCACAGCAGGCATTGCACTTTCTCGTCTCGAGAGGGGGCGCGCAGGGGGTGGTCCCTGAGCGCGGCGTCTATGCAAGCCATGGCCACTATGCCGGCCATTGCGCCGGGCATGGCCGGCGTGGCCTTTTTTTTACAGCAGGTCCGTACACACTTTGGCTCGACCTGATCGCGCAACACGTTTTGGTTTCTGCGCCGCGCCGGCGGGGTCTCTGCGCGGGTGCTGCGGAGATTCCTTTTCGACGGGATGCCTCCCAAGTTTGCAATCGCCGAGCTGCCGCCTCCGTGCTTGCAGCTGAAAAATTTTATGGTTAAGAACGGCTTCGAGATCAGTCTGGCAGGCTTACGTCTGGTCCGAATGGGCGACCAAGGGAGCGCTCTGGTCAAAGGCGCATTTAAAAAGTTACCACCGCCAGCTGACAAATTGGTGGCCTGATACACTTCTCATCCGGTACGATGAGCTGAGTAAAGGAGCGAACGACGATGACAGGAGGGAGTGCTTGGTAACGTATTTGCAAAACCCTGCCTCAGGCGGGTTTCCCCGGGACACACCTTCGGATGTGGCTGGGAAGGTGGCGACAGAAGACCGCCCGACGCCAGCGAAGGTTCGGCGAATCGCTGATGCCAGCAGCGCGAGCGCTGACACGCAGTCTCCACGCGCAACGCTTGCTGCGCTCGCGGGGGCTGCGCCCGTGCTGGCTACGCCCATGAAGTCTACGCCCATGACTTCACTCCTCAGCGGTCTCCAGCAATTCTGCTTGCTACGTCTGCGCGTTCTACTGGCACCCCTCGCATACAGCTGTCCCCAGAGCCGGCGGGGATGGACTGCCGCTGGTCGCAAGGACCATGGTCGCGGGAATTGCGGAAGACGACGAGTACGACGACGAGTACGACAACGAGTACGACGACGAATGCGATGAGTACGACGACGAGCGCGACGAGTACGACGACGACGCTGAGTATACTCAGTACGACGACGCTGGTTCGACTAGTTAGTCTGGTTGGCGTGGTCTGGTTGGTCTGGACTGGTCTACATGGTTTGGTCTGGTTGGTGTGGTTGGTTGGCCTGGCTGGCTCGTGTGGCTGCTCTGCTTGATTGGCCTGGCTGGCTGGTCTGATTACTTTGGCTGGTTATGGCTGGAACAACTGATCCGACTGGTCTGGTCAGTCCGGCTGGTCTGGCTGATCTGGCTGGTCTGGTCAGTCTGGCTCGTCAGGATGGCGAAGCGGGATGTGATATGGTTTGTGAACACACGTGACATAAAATAAGTTTGTGGGGTTCCTCGGTAGCGTAACTAGAGCGCAGGAGGTGAAAAAACTGAGGAGGAAGACAAGAAAGAAACATAATTGGCGCGGATATGGCGATATCCATCACCACGTTGTCAGCGGCGCGCCTTGTAATCGCCACTGGTCCACTGCTCAGGGCTGTTCCCCCAGGCGTCATGATCAGTACCACGTTCGTCATCAGAATCAGCGCGTTTATCAGTAACATGTTATTCGTAGACCCTTCTTTCGCTGTCAATATGGTCGGCGTTGGAGGGCCCAGGACCTAAGCGCGCGTGGTTCCACACCCGCATATACGTGTGGCCAAGCGTTACGTCTAAGCCTTTTTTTCTGATTCGTTGGGGCACTCCATATTCTTCTTGTCTCTTCAACACGCGTCACAAACCGCTCCCTCTTAGCTTGTTGGATCTGTGTGCAGCATTGAATGTTGCGACACGTTTCGAAAGAGCATATTAGGGGGCCTCCTGTGGTATGGGTGGGGGCCTCCTTCGGGTTTTGAGGGTGCTCTTACGGGATTGTGTTTGGGCAGGTTTGGGGGCCGTCTGGATCGCGAAGTTCCACCCGAACTCTCTCGAAGAGGCTCGTTCTGACAATATGTAGCACCACGCATTCGCGGATAAGAGTGAGGGGGCGGGCGCGGGGTGGCTCGCGGGGCGGGTCGCGGGTGGGTCGCGGGTGGGTCGCGGGTGGGTTACGGGTTGGTCGCGGGTGGGTCGTGGTGGGGTCGCGGGGGGGTCGCGGGGGGGTCGCGGGCCCGGTCGCGAGAGGGACGACGGCAATAGCAACACAACGCAACGCAACATGAGTTTGCACCAGCCGAACCCCAGTTCAACCACGCACCCAGGGACAGTGAATGACCGTTCGATCCCTTTCATTCTGATGTCGGCGGTCCAGGTGTGTCTTGGGGCGGTTTGGGGTCTTTCTTGGAGCGCCTTTGGACCGATTCGATCTTTCTGGTGTTCCCGTTGACGCGCGCTGCGGTCCAGTTTTGTTCCATGAGTTTGGGCGCGCAACGCGGGGGGTTATATTCGAGTGGTTTTTTTTTCGGTCGTGCTCTTGTGATCATGCCTCCCCGTCGAAGGCTTCGTGCTCTTGTGATCATGCCTCCGTTTCCTCTTCTCGTATGGTTCGGTTGTTTGTGTCTTGTTGTCTGTGCGGCCGCAGTCCGCGGGAGGCAGACCTTTGAACACTTTAGGTGGTTCGCTCTTCTCTTGTCCGTTCGTTTTGGGATACCCGCTGTGGTATGTTTCGATGTCGAGTGGTTTTCGAGTAGTCTCGTCGATGATTGTGGCACCCCCGTCTGGCATGGCACAGCATAGCACAGTCTCGTGTCATATGCTCTGGCCCAGCGCGATCGGGTACTGGCAAGCAGAGAGGAGGAGGAGGAGGAGGAGGAGGAGGAGGAGGAGGAGGAGGAGGAGGAGGAGGAGGCGGAGGCGGAGGCGGAGGCGGAGGAGGAGGAGGAGGACGAAAGGGAGGAGGATGAAGAGGAAGAGGAGGAGGAGGAGGAGGAGGATAGTAGCGGGCAAAAGATGCACGCCAGAGCGACAGCAGTGAGGCGTCATTTTTGACAGACTCACCAGGCTCTTCGGGTCCTCCCTGTTCCGTACGTATCCTCAGACATTGTTCGGCAGTTGTTTGAAGGCCTCTCGGGGATGTGCGCTCCTCGGTATGGCCTTCCGGAGGAGTTGGAGTCTTTATGGCTGCTTCTCGAATGCCCCCCTGACGTCTCAGAGTCCTCTTGGACCGTCTCGGCAGTCCCTTCAGGCCCCTTCAGGCTATACTGAAGCATTCTCGGGGGCGCACTGGGCCGTCTCAGGGCTCGTGAGACCTCATTCGACGCCTCTTGGATTGCAATTTCGGGTGAAGCGTGTATCAGGAGAGGAAGAAACACACAGACACAATCAATCGTCGATCCCCCAGAAAGAAAACATAGGAAAATATAGGAAGTTGGGAGGAGGACGAAACTCAAGAAAATACGAGAATATACTGGGAATCCTGGGATTTGTGTCGATCTCTTTGTGCGTCCTTGGGCCCCTTCAGTGCAGAGGGGGCTGCCCGTCCCACTGCTCACCCCCGCGTGCTGCCCGACAACCGGCACCTCTAGCCCGCTCCAGCGCGCGAGTGCGGGCTGCCTCAGCCGCGCTACGGCGTGAAGAGTAGAGGGGCTGCGAAGTTTCCTCGTCCCCCCGCCTCTCGGAGGGGGGAAAAAGGTACCCATACCGCTACCCTTCGCCCGTGTTCCCCGTTTGGGGGGCCTCCTGCGAGGCCCTTGCCACCGCTGGATTCGCCTCGAGATCCTGGTCGGAACGCGCCCCAGGAGAGGCCCGGGGAGTCGCGGTATCGGTACTTTTGGGTCCCCCCTCTTCACCCTTCTTTTCCTCCCGCCGTCCCTTGACCCATATTGGTTCCGTGAGTCGGGGCCCCTTGGGGCTAGGCCAGTGCACAGGACGCAGCCCCGCCTGAGGGCGCAGTCAGTGGGGAAGCAGCCCTGGGGCGCAGTTGCTCGCATGTTGCGGTCAGGACGGCCAGGCTACGTCAGGTCGACGGCGCATGGAGCCAGAGGTTGTGGGGATTCCCCTGAGTTGAATAGTTGTTACAGGGCGATCCATGAGCAGGCGATGGTCTTTGACCCTGCTCGCCGCTAATGCATGTTATTCTGTCGTGGGTCCACTTACCTCAGCTTGTGAGAACGAATACCAGATCAATAGCCGCTCCCGCGAAATCGTGACACACGTCGGAGACATCAGCAAGCCCATGTGCTGAATAGCTGCATTGTAAGTCCGAAAGCAGTGGGGACGTAATAATTCTGGTGTGCCTGTCCTTGAGTTGCATATTCATCACAGGGCCAGAATCCGCGATTGTGACAGTGTCCTGCATTGCCGAGCTCATGTACAAGTACAAGTATGTATTCTTTCACCCGAACACAAAACATAGCATTGTAAGTCGTTGCAGTAGCATGCGCTGACACAGCTGTCGATTCGTATTTTGGTATAGTGTGTACTGTCGATTCGTAGTTTGTTTTAGTGTGTATCGAAAGTAATGAGTTTAAGCGTGATGGAGTAAGCTACACGGTATCAGTCACCCCGCTCATCCCCGAGGAGGAGCGAATTGGCGACGAGTGTAAAGTCACAGTGGAAGATTGGAACGAAGAATTCCCCGCGTTGCGTCGTACTAGTAGGGATGGTGGCACATGTGGGCAATCACTTTCCGACTACAGTGTGGGTTTTTACATTCGTTTTACCGCCATTACCAGGCAAGTCGAGTGATCAACCCAGGCAAACGGACTGCTCTGCCATAACGGCATTGCGAACATGTTGCCAGCACAACAAACAATATGTTGATCATGCGATTCTCACTACATTCAATATTCTTCACGCCATGCAAGATTCACAACGTGACAATGTTTATTAATTCACATATTCTGTCATCCAGTGCCTACTGACACGCGGATTCATCCGTCGCCATTTGGGATCAAGGCAGCACAGCGGAAGCATGAGCGCAGGAGGGGCAGCTACACTCGCCATGAAAACGTCTATCCGTCTCCCGAGCAATGGCATGGGCCCAGGAGAAGCGGCAGCATCGCCTCGATGCCCCAGCGGGGGCGTGAGCGCGGCGCGGGCAGCAGCATCACCCGTGCGATCAGTTGCTGGAAGATGGGATGACGAGCGCGACAGATGTGGAGGGGTCCCTGCTGCAGGCGCAGACGCTGCGTGCGTGCGCCAATCGCTGGAGCGCCTCAGGCTCGACATGGAGGCGGTCTTTGATAAGCACAGGGAGCTTTGGCGGCAGTATCCTGATGCGTCTTCGGGGCCTCGCGCTGCAGTGGCAGAATCTGCAGACCGGGTCCCGGACCAGGTGCTCCATCACCACCACCACCCCATTTCGCCGAAGAAGGTAAGGTTCCGCGACACGGGCCGCACTGTCGTAGAGCACATTTCGAGTAACAGGAGTGCCAAATCGGACGAAGGGATGACCAGGATTCGCAAGCTACAAACGGAACGGAACCTCTTCCTCACGCAGGAGGACAAGAATTGGATGCACACCCTTGTAACGTCTAGCCATAAGTCATGGATTAGTCGTTGTTCCATGTGGTTGCCTGGAAGTAGGATAGGAACTTTCAGCTCAGTGAGAAAGACGACTGATTTTGTCTCGAAGCTGGTAAGGCATCCTGGCTACCAGCTCGCTCGCGGCATGATGATGCTTCTGGATGCAGTGCTTGTTGTGTGGGAGATGCAATATGCTGCACAGCGTGCAACCTCTAGCATTCACAACAGTTTGGGAGGCATCGAAGACGCAACAATATTGAGTGCATTTATGGACATATCCTGTGTGATGTTCGTTACAGACCTCCTGTTGGGTTTCACAGCAGGCCTGTTAGACCCGACCATATCTACTGGACATGGCTGGCAGGATTTCCACGTCGTCGTTGTGATCGCACAGTTGCTTCAGACCATTGGCCAGCACTCACACCAACACCAGAGGTCCTACTCGCAGTTCCGGGTTGTCCTTGCCATGTTGTCCACATTGCGTTTGGCCAGGTTGTTGTCGTTGGTGCTTGTGACGGACGTCATTCGCCAACACCCCTTTTTCAGGGAGCTGCGCATCATGATCCATTCGCTCACCGGTGCGGTCAAGGGTTTTCTGTGGTCCAGCTTGCTGATCTTCACGATCCTGCTCATCTTTGGCACCGTCTTGTCGGAGGGGACACTGGCTTTCCTCGTCCAAAGCGGGGGAGAGGACTCATCCGCGGGCTTGCAGGCGCGGTTCGGCTCGCTGTTCCTCGCCGTGCTCACCCTCTTCCAGGCGGTGTCCGGCGGCGTCGACTGGCACGAGGTCTGGCAGATTTTGGACGCGCTCGGCTGGGGTTACAGGGGGGTGTTCTTGCTGTACATCGGCTTCTCGTTCCTGACCCTGCTCAACGTGGTCACGGCTGTCCTCATTGAGGGCACGTTGATGCGCTGCACGACAGACCGAGGCCTGGTGGTGCAGAGCGAGCTCATGGCCAAGAGGGACTTCCTCCAGGCCATGAGGAAGGTGTTCCGGGAGCTGGATGTCGACGAGGACGGTGACATCACAGTGGAAGAGCTTAGGGGGCGCATGAAGGAGCCCGAGATCGGGGCCTATTTCAGCCAATTGGGTGTGGATTCGGATCAGGTGGGCAAGCTTTTCCTCCTCCTGGATCGCGACAAGTCTGGGACACTTGACCCCGAGGAGTTCATGTTCGGTTGCTTGAAGCTCCGAGGCGCGGCTAAGAATTTGGACGTGGCGGTGCTGCACCAGGAAGTCCAGTGGATTCACGAGACTCTCGAGATCGTGGTGGCCAATTTGAAGCCCGCCGGCCTCCGCAATGCGAATGCGAGGCCCGTTGGGCGATTTCCCCACTGTGGCGCAGAGACCTCAATTGAGTTGTCTCCGTTTTCTCCCCTGAACATACGTCCCTCCTCACCCACGTCGGATGGTGCCGCCGGTGCGCGACAGACCCCAGCTTGGATGATGGATGACTTCGACCACTGCTATACCGTAGGATCCTCGGATTAGGCGAGCCATGGAATCGTGGAAGTAGGCGATCACTTGTTGATATGTTTCATAATTTCGCTGATAATGCGTAGAGGCGCAATTTAAATCCACTGAAGCCGCGTGGCCAGCAGTGGGGCTCAGTGAACTTAGGTTGTTCGCATTATCGATAAGCACGCTGGAACAGGCACTGCCCTTGCCCTTGAACAAAAAACAAATGAAACATGCAATACGTATCGAATAGATGTCGGCCCATCCAGCCACCGTGCCTGGGTTGTGGGTCTGAGGCCTCTTGGATGTTCGTTGGGATCTCGTCGAGGCCTCTCGGGAGCCTCCTGGAGGGAGATTTAGGCTTTCTGGTGGGATGTTTCGGGGCCTCTTGAGGACCTCGTGGCCTTTGAGTCTTATGAACCTGTGAGCCCTCCCGTACAGTCCCAGCCCTATGAGCCATGTGAGTCCTCCTCCTCATCCTCCTCTTCATTATCACCATCAACAACAATAACAACAGCATCTTCATCCTCATCCTCATCATCACAATCCTCATCATCATCAGCATCATCATCTTTATCATCATCAGCAGCATCATCATCAGCATCATCAGCATCATCATCATAATCAACAGCATCATCATTTGTTATCATCAGCAGCATCATCGTCATCATCGTCCTCATCATCATCAGCATCATCAGCATCATCATCATCCTCCTCATACTCAGTATCATCATCAGCATCATCATCATCATCCTCATCATCCTCCTCGTTGTCGTCATCGTCGTCGGCGTCGGCGTCGGCATCGTTATCATTGTCGTCATCACCATCATCAGCAGCATCATCATAATTAGAACCAGAATCACCATCATCATTAACACCATGGTCAGCAGTTGCGTCATCCTTGTCGTAATGCTAATAATAATAATAAAAATGATAAAAATAATAATTATAATTATAATAATAATAACAATCATAATAACAATAACAGCAATAATAATCGTCATCATCATCAGCAGCATCAGCATCGTCGTCAGCATCGTCATCGTCGTCATTGCTCGCCATCAGCAGCATTACCATCATCAGCAGCAGCATCATTGTGAATCGTCACCACCATCATCATCATAAGATTCATGGTCATCAGCATCATCATCATCATCATCATCATCATCATCATCATCATCATCATCATCATCATCATCATCATCATCCCCCTCATAGTCCGCCTCCTCCTCCTCCATCTCCTCCTGCACCCCCACTCGGCCCGCCACCCCCAGTGGCTTGCCGCAGGGGTGCACAGCGCACCAAATTTCTGGGCTTCTGCTGGGTCTTGTAGATTTTCCCAGTGACCTTTCGCCCGTCGAGCCAGCACTTTAGAAAAGGAAGTTGCGGTCGGAAGTCTCGTCTAACATGGCTTGAACATGGTACCAATATGGCTAAGACAGACTTCAAGGCGGCTCCAAGAAAGAGCAGGATGGCCGCAAGATGTCTCGAAGACGGCCCACGACGCACCCAAGACGGCCTAAGATGGCCTCAATACTGCCCAAGATGACCATAGAGTCCCCCAAGAGACTTCCAAGACCGCCCCAGAGACCTTCGAGAGGTTCGCCAGGCAAGCCCGACGAGGCCAAATCATTGATTCATCGACACGACTCTACTCTACCTTATTCCTATTCTATCGTTTTCAATCTAGAGGCTGTCGCCGTTGCCGCCCACCCCGAATTCAGCGACTTGTGGTTGGTTCGTTTTTTGTTAGGGTGTATTGCCGAGCTTGGCATTTTGGGTTCAGGCGAGATATCCTGTTCTGATCTGAGCGTCGCTCTCTTGGCCTTCAGATGCTCTCTTACAACTCGGACTCCTGTCTGTCTACAACTCGATGACCATCGCGCTGTAGCAGGCGTAGCACTTCGGCACTCTAAGGTGAAGCCGCCGGGGTGTGTTTCTTGACAGGAATGGTGCGGAATGTTGGCAGTGACTCGGGTTAGCCGTCGGTGGGTGGGGGATGGAGTGCATTTCATCCGGGAGCAGTGATGAAACCATCCCCGAGAGGAAAGAGAGGAAGCGTGTTTAACCACCTCCGCCCAGAGGGTTGGTGGGGTTCTGAGCTCCTAGACCACCTGCGAGAGGTGGTTCGGATCCGTTTCGGCGAGGCCATCCTAGCAATTCTGGGCCCCGAGATACCACGTGCGAGGTGGTCCGGCCGAATTCGCTTGAGACATCCTCGCGATTGTGGGCCTTCGAAATGCCACGCAAGAGGTGGTCCAGCCCGTTTCGCTTCAGACATCCTCGCCAGTGTACTGGGGCGGTCCATGCCGTTTCGCTCGAGACATCCTCACAATTAATTATGAGTTCCTAGATGCCACGCGAGAGGTCCAGCCAGTTTCGCCTGAGACATGCCAACAATTCTGGGCCCAGGGATGCCCTGACCTGAGGTGGTCCAGCCAGTTTCGCTTGATACATCGTCGCAATTCCGGGCTCGGAGATGCCCTGGCCTCAGGTGGTACAGCCATCTTCGCTTCACACATCCTCGCAACCATGGATTCATATGCACCGATCAGAAATCCTACGAAAAAGCATCAACGTTCATGGACTCCAAATTCTGCTCACGAAAACCAAGAATCTGGACCTGACCCTGGGCGTTTTCTCTGAGGTGTTTTGTTCGCCGAACTTTCGTATAGGTGGACCTGGACTACTGTTTCAGAAAACGCTTCGAGTGAAATCCCTCTTCTTAGCTTCGAGCTTTCTTAACGCCACGCACGGGGGTCTGACCTCACCTCATGTGGTCCGATCCGGTTTCGTGCAAGGTATCCTCGCAGTTTTGGGCTCGGGTGTGTCCTGATCTCAGGTCGTCCACCCCATTTCAGCCCTTTTCGCTTGAGATACGCTCAGAATTCTGGGTTCATATAGTGAGCGGCTTGAGGGAACACTTACTTTTCAAAAGGGGCTCGGTCGTTCCTTAGGCTTGCATGCGTTATTGATCGTTCCTTCTGCGTTATGCATCATGTATCGCTCCGTATGCGTTACTCCTTGAGAGAAGGCGTTTCGTTTCTTATGTATCGTTCCTTTGGTCAGGCCGGTGACTGCAGATGCCCTGGAGTATATTTTGCGCTGCACATGCGTTACTCTAAAGAGGGCTCACAGGCAACCCCTGGCAACAATGTGATGCGGGGCACATGCGCGCGCCACTGCGCGCGCACGTCAACATCACTAGTTCTAGTACAAGCCCTTGGCGTTCGAACGATGTCCAAGCATAGCTAGTCAAACCCCATGCGTGTGGACTGTGGTCAGAAGCTTGGCGGGTGCTTTGGGGGGAAACAGTTTTGAAGCCTCTTGGGGCTCTCTTGTGGGGGCACTTTGGGCGCCAGTTGGCGGTCCCAGAGGTCCTCTACGGGCGGAGGGATCGAAACGTAAGTTCGAGTTATTCCTCTTGGGGCCCTCTTGGGCCGTCTTGAGGGCCTTTTTGGCCTTCTAGTTATCCTCTTTGGCTGCCTTGGGAGTCTCTTGCGGGCTTGTTGGGCCGTCCTGGAGCGGCGAAAGTTCGTAGGGCGTCCGAAAAGGCGAGAACGACGACAGAGTTCAAGCATGTCGAGAAATCAATGAGGAGGAGGAGGAGCAGGAACATGAGCAACGCAAAGGGAATCCTGGAAGATAGGAGGAGGAAGAGGAGGAAGTCCGAGGAGGAGAACGACATCCCAGGAGAAGGACCAACATTAGGAATACGACGTATAGATCTGTGGGGGGAAATATTAGATATGAGCAGAAAGAAGAGGAAGAGGAAGAGGGGAGGCTTCCAAGATGAGAAGGATATCGTAGAAGGAGAAGAAGGACTGCATTCAAAATAGGCGAGGAAGAGGAACCACGGTAATGAAACAGCAATTGCAAGAGATGGAAGACGAGCAATGTTTTTACATGGGTTAGATTCGCCCTTGAGCCAACACCATGTGTATTTACATGGGTTATGTTTGCCCGTGAGCGCAGAACATGCGTGTTGTAGATAAGTTCATTTCGCCAGTGAGCCAACACCATGTGTTGTTACTAAGTTATGTTCGCTCGTGGACCCAAACCGTGTGTTTGTACATGGGTTATTTCTCCCGTGAGCCGAAACCGTGTGTTTTTACATGGGTTCTTTCCGCTCGTGAGCCAATCCACGTGTGTTGTACGTGGGCTCCGTTCACCCGTCAGCGCGAACCGTGTGTTTTTGCAACATGTGTGTTTACATGGGTTCCTTCCGCCCAGGAGCCATAACCATGTGACTTCACATGGGTTCTTTTCATCCGTTTCACCTGTGAGCCACCACGATGTGTTTTTACATGGGTTTCTTTCGCCCGTCAGTTAAAATTGTTTCGGCACGTCTTGATGCAGTTTGTCGTGCTTCGGTTCGCCGCGTTTCGGTCTATCCATTCACCGTGCGTTTCGCGTTGGTCCAGATTCGCCACCTCTTGGCTCGTCCCGTTTCGGAATTCCTGACGTTCCGCGTATCCCACCAGCCTCCGTACCCCCCTCCGGCTCAAGCCGCTCTGGCCCAAGCTGCGCGCCGTCAGGGGGCCTCTGCCCGCTCCCTTCCCTTCATTTGTTCCGTTTTTCCGTTCCACATTTCCGTGATGAGCGCCTGGCTTTCTGGCGGGCCTGGTCAGAGTGGCAGGACCTTCGCGGTTGGCACAGTCAAGCTTGGCACAGTCAGCATGGTCTCCCACATGATATTCAGAGTTGGCACGGCCAGAATTGGCATAGTCAGCAGGGCCGCGGATTCGACTACGCCACCACAGTTTGGGCAGCCCGCCGCGCAAAACAGCGCGCGGCTCGTCAGCGAGCAGAGCAAAATACTTCTCCGTCTGGACCAAGATGTGACGTTTCGGCGGCCCCGCCCGCAAACGACCTTACCACAGACTGCGAGCCCGAGGTCGTCGCTGTTCTGTGTCAGCATGGTATTGGGATGTATGCGTCGAGCTTCGCTGGGCTGAGCGCATGGCTGAGGCACGGCTTATGAGTGATCGACACATGCGCGACACCAGCATACGACCTGGTCATTGCATACGTCTTGCTACAGCTCTAGGCCACCAGGCTGCAGGGGAACAGGGAACCTGTGTCGACACTCTCCTGGGACCGCCTGGCTTGCGCGGTTGTCCAACAAAGCTGCCCGGCGGCATGACATAGACGCAGACCCAGCGCACCGACGGGTGGGCCGGCGCCCCGCCTACGCAGGGCGTTTCCCCTGAGAC